AATATTTTTATTTATTTTCTGTCTTTTAATATTTTCTTCTTTTTAGTTTCAATTTTCACCACCTTTTATTTATTGTTTGGCAAATTTTTATTGAATTTTTTATTTTAAGAATGTGTTTTATTTAACTAATATTTAGTTTGATGTTTTGTTGTAGATTCTGTTTGATTAAATTTTATTTCATTTTTTATTCAGCTCAACTGAGATTAAATTTATAACAGTTAAACAGACATTAAATCTATAGACCAAGAGCCAAACTAGCTCTCTCTCTCTCTCTCTCTCTCTCTCTCTCTCTCTATCTCTCTCTCTTTTTCTCTCTCTTCCTTTGAGCAAGCAAAAAAATGTAAAAGCATTGGCCATTTTGCAGAGCTCTGCCATTTGCAGTCACTCTGCCATCAAATTGTGAAACGCGCTTCGGACTGTCATTAATTACAAAATGGGGCGTTGAGAACTCATTACCGTGTGCCGTAACTTGAGGCCAGTGGGCGTGGTCGCTGGCATCGTGTGACGCATTTTAGCCCTGGGCATTGGGCTTACAACTAAGCCGCTTAACGTGCAAAATCAAAGTTGAGACAGACAATGAGGCTCGACCGAACAACCGAACGACCAAGCATCCGACCATCCGACCATCCGTCCGACCCCGGGCGCTTAACGAGATTTCTCGTCAGACAATGAATGACAGGCCCTACACGCAGCCAAAGATTGGGCATATGCACATGTGTAAATACTAACAGAGAGTGGGCGAGAGCAGAGGGGGAGAGGGAGAGGGAGAGAAAAAAACGAGAGGGCGTTTGGTTACATACGGCTTAAACCGAGCGGTGGCGGTGCGGAGGAGCGCAGGGCTGAGTCGTCCGCACATGTTTCTCATTAACGCGGCTATTATGCGCTTAGCTGTGCCAATTACACGGCTCCAGCATAAAGCTAAGCCCAAGAATTAATCATGGACTATTGTTTCGACTTAATTAAAATGCAGCGAAGAGTCGATGGAGCTGGGCGAAGCCAAAAAGCTGAGCCAACTCAAGCAGCTCAACTGACCAGCAGAGCTGTCCAACTGAAATTTTTGGCATGCGAATGATCTGACATATGGGAAAGAAGTTTTTCCATTCTCTTTTGTCCTACGCAACTTTTCAATGCAGTTAAAGCAAAAATAGGCAATGGGGTATAGGAATGAGGAATGGGAATGAGAAATTTCAATTAGACTTAAAGAGCATAAAATATAGAAGAAGAAGTTATAGCAATAACTGGTATTGGAATAGGCATGGAGAATGGGAGGATTGAGGAAAGAGAGATTTCAATTAGACTTAAAGAGCATAAAAAAATAGAAACATTTTAGAGAAACTGAATAAGGGACTTAAGAAACCTAAGAGATAAGCTAAGGACATGGATACCATGACCTTACTTGCAACAGAATTTGATTTATGGTTGAGCAATTTTTGAGACTTACACAAAAATACTCTTAAAGCAATACTTGAAGAGAAACAGAAATTATCTGAAGAGCTGAAGAGGGGGCTCTATAAAAAAAAGCTAAAGAGCTCCATGGAATACTTGGAAGAAAAATCAATAAATCTTAGTGCTCGCTTTTGGGATGAATCACTAGTTAGTAACGATCGAGGATTCATTTATTTCCTTAAGGCAATATTTGAAGACCTAATTGAAAAACTCAGAGCTCTATAGAGTTTATAGAAGAAAACTCAAAGAGTTTTATAAAGTCATAAAAGAAAACTCGAGGAGAGAAATTGATAACTACCTTATGTAAATGTGTAACAATTAGTTCAGTTTAGCTTGAGACCTGCTTTTCACTATCCACTCATTTTGATTTAAAGACCGACTCAAAGATCTCAGAGACTTCTTAAGTGATGCACAACAAATTTTTGGTGTTTAAAAGTTTTGGATCTACTCACCTATCGGCAATGATGTACTGGCCGATGCGATTGACTGCCACGCCCGCTAGACAATCGAATTCACCCTCGCCGTTGCCATATTCGCCAAACTCCTTGACGAAGATGCCATTCGAGTCGAAGACCTGAACACGATGATTGCTCGAATCGGCGACGACAATGCTATTGTCGGGGCCGACGGCTAGGCCGCGCGGCCACGTAAAGGATCCGGGCTCGCTCCCCCGGCCCCCCAACTGGAACAGCTGCTGGCGCTTGCGCAGGTATACCTGTTTAGGGATAGTACCTGCCACTCCGGTTATACCGGCTGCTGCTGCTGCTACCGTAGGGGACGTAGGGGAGCCTAGCCCGTTTTTTGACCCGTCATCGTCGGACGAGGCCAGCTCATTGGCCTGACGCAACGGCAGGCCGAGGCTCAGCCGCCTGGACACATCGCTGGCCGTGCTTCGGCTGGCCGCCGTCGAGCCGGAGGCGTGGCTATCGCGCRCACTGCTGCCGCTGCTGCTGCTGGGCGCATCCTTGGCGCTCTTACTGCCATACTTGTTCTTCAGATAACGCGCCCACGAGCTGAGCGCCTCCCCGTCCTTGTTGTCCGTCGAGCTGCCCAGCGCACTGCGCGACGAGCCCGCACTGCGATCCGTGATGGGCGAATTGTCGCGAGACTTCAGCGCATGCGAGGAGCGACTGCGTGATAGATCGCTGCTGCCATAGCCGCTGTATCTGTAAAACATTTGAGAATGGATTAGCATTCAGATTGGAAGATACGCGCAAGCGCTGAACGTTGAGTTGTGCGATGAGGCTGTTGGAGAGGCATTGCCGACAGTTTGGGAGTAATTGAGAGAGGCACGCAGTTTTACAGTCACTGTGAAACTGAATTTAAGCTTAGGCATGACAGTTTAGGAGTCATTGGGTACAGTTAAATGCGAACTGTGAATCAATTGTCAAAGATTGCCTAAGCCTTGACCTACAGTTGCAGAGTCATTGCTAAAAGTTGACTGCCAAACTGTTAGTCCAGCAAATATTTGAAGAGCCCTAAGTCTTCGACTCGACTGGAGCTCGGATATTGACTGTCAAACTGTTTGAAAGTATGCCTCGAGTTCAGCCACTACTGAATGCAGTGTTGGTCAAACTGTGAGCTGACTAACAACATGTTAGAACAGTTGAAAGGACTGTCAAACTGTTTGCAGAAGATCTTTGCGATCTTTACAGTATCACTGTATCCTAATACAGTTTGGCGACAACTATGGGGCTATTTTGAAGACAACTACTTGCTGTCAATCCTGTGAGAACAGTTTGACTGAAACTGGAATCTACTTGTCAAGGCCTTGCTTAGTTAAACAGTTGATGAGTCATTGAGCACACCGTAATGACTCTAGAACTGTTTGCAGAGAGCTACAATAAATGCTAAAGCGCAGTTTGAACGCCAATGGAATCAAACTGTAAACGGTTGTTTAGTATGAAGCAAAAAGCTTCACGTGGGAAAATTGTAGTGGATTAACTGATTCTCTGATCGTCAAACAAGAGAATAGCAAAATAGCTCTCAAACTGTATTTTGCCTTAAAAAGAGCTAAAGAGTCAGTATATTACAAACCGTAAACTGAATCTTAAACTGTTTACGTCGGTGATTACGCAGTGATTATCAAACTGTAAGCAAACTTCCAACAGATTAAATGAAAACGCCTGCACAACTCAGTGAGCAGCCCTCGCTTGTTTAAATGTTGATCACTGAAATTATGAACTGGTTCAAATGAATGTATGAGCTGAGCTGAACTAGATTTTTTTCACATTTAATGACTGCGACGACGCAACGAAAACTGAAATGGAAATGGAAAAATGCACAACGAATGCATGATGAAAATGCATGACGAATGCCTGACGAATACATGATGTATGCATGATGAATGCATGAGATTTGTACAGAGTGGGCGCAACTGCATCTAAGGAAAAGACAGTGAAAAAGAAACAACTATACAAAATGGCTTTAAAAATCCTGTTAATTTCGGTTAATTTGAACGCGCAGAAAAAAAACTTTTTTTTTTTTTTTGTTGGGGAGGTTTAAAAAATTTTGTAATAATTCAAATAAAAAATTGAAATAATAAATGTACATAAAAGAAACTGGAATTAGTGTGTGCTGGTGTGTGTATATGTAGGCGTGGGTGTGTGTGTGTGTGTGTGTGTAGAGTGCAAAACATAAACGAGAACAAAACGTGGTAAAGAAACGTGGGTCCAGCACGCAGAGAAACTCATAAAAAAATAATTAAAATCAAAATAAAATAATAAAAAAATAATGAATAAAACAAAAATTTGAAATTCAAATATTTTGTGTTTTTTGGTTTTTAGCGAAAAGGGACGGGAAGTGGTACAGCACACGCACATTGAAAGCGCCCATAGAAACGTCCATAACAGATTTATATAGAGTATATATAGAACATAGAGTATATATAGATCTATAAAATATATGCCATATGTACAAACGCCAGCGTCCTATATACAACGGAGTTTCGAATTGAATTGTCATACACTTCTTTTTTGGTATTTTTTTGTATTTTTTTGGTATTTTTCTGATATTTGTTCTGGTATTTGTTTAGACTTGCGCACCTTGAGGCCAGGTAAGCAGATGGCGACACTGTCGTCGGCGATACGGGCTCATCCAGATCATCGTCCTCGTTGCCAAACTGATGCGAGGAGCGACTGCGCGCCAAGCGATTGCGTCGCTCCTTCATGGCCAGATAACGTGAGCGGCCGGTGCCGTAGCGGCTGTCGGAATCGTCGCCAGTGCCGGTGCCGGTGCCCGTGCCGTTGCCATCATCGTCGAAGGAGGCGTTCGGCGTCGATAGCGACGGCTGTGCGACAATTGCGCTGCTCTTGCTTTTGTTTAGGAAGCGGCTTGTGTAGCTAGAAAAATGTTGGTTTTTTTTTTTTGGTATTTTTTTTATGCGATATTTAACACTTTAAAATTGTGTTTGGTTGTTGTTGCTTTTGTAGAAGTTGAAGTTTGTGTATGTGTATGTGTGCTGTCTCTGTGTGTGTGTGTGTGTGTCTGTGTGCCTCGCACCTGGCGGTAAAAACAAACTTTGGAAGCGCCTAGCGAGAACTAACTTTTAACTAGCTTAAATCTGTGTGTAACGAGCTTACGCCTCGCTCTTCCGCCCTCCCCTTCCTCTCGCATCCTCTCTCTCCCGCTCTCTAGCTCGTTTATTAGGCAACCAAATTCAATTAAAATACACAAAAAAAACAAGCAACAAAAATTATGTGCGCTCAACCGAAAAAAGTTTCTAATTAAATTTCACGTTTTACATTTTACATTAGCGCAAAAGTTTAGACACAGAGCAACACAAATTTAGAGGGTATTTTACAATGCATAAGTACACTATGCTCACATACAGGTCACATTTACAGGGTATACAAAGCATTAAGAGTATACAAAAATAAGCAACATTAATTAAACAGCAACTACTACAAAGGCCAACGGCTACATGGAAAGCAACAACAAAGCACACACAGAAAATATAATACTCGGTATTTAAATACCAACAAAAATAATGTAAATACTGAAAGTAAATACAAAAAGCTCATTAAATACGGTTAAATGAGTATTAAGGCCATGGGCAGGAGCTTAAGCAGCAGCAGTCTTTCTCTCTCTCTCTCTCTCTCTCTCTCTCTTTCTCTCTCTCTCTTTCTCTCTCTATGTCTCTCTCTCTCTCTCCCTCACTCTCTCTCTATCAGCCGTCTATTTCTCTCTCTATCTATATCTCTCTCACTCTCTCAACTCAACCTCTTCTCCTCTTGCTCTCTCTCTCCCTCTCTCACTCTTTACATTTCCATATGACGCACAAATGTAGGCAATATTTTTTTTATTTTGTTAGTACGCCACATCGATTACATGGAATATACATAAACATACATACATACATACACACATACATACATATATGGCACACATAGTCAAACAATGAAATGAATGCCAGCGCATGCAACACATCATGTGCGGCATGTTGTCCAACTGTACATTAATTGCCATGGAAAAAAAGAACAGCCAAAAGAAAAACAAGCATTGATTGTTGCCATAAAAATATATATACATATATATCGAGTATAAAAATCTTTTTTTATTCATTTGATAGCAAAAATGAATGCGATGTTTTATTCAATATTTAAACAATTGTCGCGTGTACACACACACACTCACACACACACAGACAAATTGAAGCAGCCGCTAACGACTGCCTAATGCTCGTTCATGTTACAGAAACTCAAATGGGCGGAATATATTAGATAGATATATGGATATATGTAGAGTCGTTCAATTGTGCATCAATTGCAAGAACTTGTTGACTTGCCACGCCAGAATGGGCGGTTCCTACTAGAGATCTGTAAGCTGTAATGTAAACTCTAAGGGGCGGAATATATATTGGGGGAATATATATTACGGGAATATATATATTAGATGTAAATTAGTTGGATAACATACATATGTATATAGAGGAGCTCAAGAGTGGCTCAACTATTGAATATCGTATAAGATATGAATACCTAACTATATTGGACCTCTATGATGATTCTTGACTTGCCACGCCCCATATTGGCGGCATGTATAGATGGATGAATAGTGAGTCGTTTTCTATAAAGGATAGGCGGGATATATACTAGAGAGATATCTATAGGTAAAAGATAGATATCTATAAAGCAACTCTATGGTGAATATGGACTTGCCACGCCCCAAATGGGCAAAGTTAGATATCTTTAAAGCAACTATGGTGAATGGACCTGCCACGCCCCAAATGGGCAGAACATATGCCAGATAGAGAGACATAGCTAAAGAGCAGTGGACGGTTCGCATATAAGATGGATGTAAAGGAGCTCTGTGGTAATTATTAAATTGCCACGCCCTAATTTGATGGCGTGTATTAACTATAAAAAGATATCTATGACGCAGCTAAATAGTGATTATGATAATGACATACCCCTCCTAATAAGAGAGCTGAGAGTTGTCCGTCTCTAAATCAGCGGCTCATATAAGACATTGATATAGATATGTAACGAATATCTAAAGAAATTGAGAGCCTGAAGCTTTAAATAAAATCGTCACTCTTCGGACCAACTAATACTTTAGCATAATACTTCGTATCTGAATAAACATGGGGCATAGTTGGATTTATATGATATATAAATAATATACTATATAAATTTGCAAGCTCCAATTAAGTCAAAGTAGCTCAGCCTCACCTCATGTTAAAGCTAATATACTCTCTGAATACCTCTCTCGATAACCTGCAGCTACCATAAAAAACTGCAATTAATACTCCACTTGCTGTGCCACAAGTTTTAATTACATTACGCAAGCTGTGCGTCTGCTAGCCCCCAAAAAGAACTCAATATTCAATATGATTGTCAATAAAATAAATTAAGGAACGAGCACATAGAGAGAAAGAGACAGACGCACACAATGACAACAACTCAACGGCATTTGAACCCTTTTCGCTCTCTGCGCGTGTGTGTGTGTGTGTGTGTGTGAAAGGTCATTGTAAAGTGCTGCGAATTGAATTGAAGCTGCTTTTGAGCAGCCACTGAGTGGCTCCAACTGCCTCAACTTAGATTCAAGCTCTATTTATTGCCCTACTGTCCCTACTTAACCCCTTGATGTCAGCTCTAGAACTAGAATCTGACACTACAAACACACACACACACACACACACACACACAGGCACACACACACTCAAACGCAACCTCTCTGACATTTCGATAATATTTTGTGGCATATATATAACATATCTGATTGCTGTGGACAGCTTTTCCCCAATCGCTAGCTGACATCGATTTATAACATTTTTTCAATTTTTCAAATATGTCAAATGAGTTTGAGTCCCAGCAGCCAAGTTTTTAATGAAATTTGTTTTGAAAAGTGTGCAGAAAAACCTAACTGAACTATAACTATATATACATATACATTTTGATAGAAATAATTTTGACATATGTTTTTTAGATTCCTGTATTTCTACTTTAAGCAACTCAACTAAGTTAACTAGCCTAATTATAATATATATTTATATATTAAACTGTTTAAAAATTAAACAGATCAAAAAAGAAAAAAAAAATTGAATTTTTTTTACTTAACAAAAAAATAATTTAAATGAATATAGCATTTTTTCTATTCTTCTAAACAAAAATTCTATACATTTTTTAAACGTTTAATATATGTAACAAAAAACTAAAAATTAACGATTAGATTTTAGCTTAGAAAAGGAAAAAAAAAATAAACATTTTTTGTTAACAAATAAAGAAAAATATAAAAAAAATGTTATAGATTCTAAAAAAAATACTTAACATTTTTTTAACATTTAATATTTGTAACAAAAACAAAAAATTAACGATTCTTTTTGTACAACTATAATTTTAGTACACCTTTACAAACTAAAATTTTGCCTAAAGTTTAAGTAATTAATTTGCTCCCTTTCCTCAATTATTATTTATGAAAAAAAAGCTAACCAATATAAATAAATTTTAAATTTAAAATTTCTTCAAATTTTAAAATATTTCATACAAAATATAAAGCTAATTTGCTTCTGAAAACTTCAGTTTTCTCGTGTCACCAGAGAAAACAAAGCAGCTAGGGTTAAGCTCTTAAGCCTGTGAGGCTATTACGACCTTTCTTTGTTTGACATCGGATGAAAGGGACAAAGACGAAAGCAAAAAATTAGAAACTAAGCAAGAAGCCAACTTGTGTGCAAATTTGTCTGTGGGCAGTGCATACTCTGCTGAGTGAGATTAAAGAGGGTATATTGGTTTTGCTGGAGATGAAGAAACTGAATAACTGAATAAAGAATATTATAAGCAATGTGGGAAGGGAAAACAAAAGACTAAATGGCAATAAAAAGTAAAGTTTCAGTTAGTTTAATTAGATGCGCTCCTGATTTATGATAGAAAAAAAGAAAAATTTCAACTATTTTTGTACCATGAACGCGCATCATGCAGTTGGCTATGCCCGACTGCAATGAGTTTAACTGAAAAACGCTTTCGATGAAACAAATTAAATGAAATGCCTAAAAGAAGAATAAATAAAACATTTCAATGCAGTTGCACACATTTAATTTGATTGTGAGGCACATTTCAGGGAAGGGAACGGGATGGAGGTAGTATATATGCAAAATACGTATATATCTAACTATCTATAGATAGATAGATAGCTAATCAGTTACAGCTATAACTGTCTGTTATTCAATTATTTAGTGTCACGCTTAACATCCGCAAATCGCTTTCGGTACAGAGCCCTGTGGGGCCTACTTATGTACGGTATGCTAAAGGGCAGTGCGCTGCAAAGACGAACATAGAGAACAACAAGATACAAATACATAGAGTGAGATGCATATAAAGACAAAGAGAGAGAGAGAGAGAGAGAGAGAGAGAGCGTGAGGCTGGGGAGAGGTGGGGAATAGGAGTAAGTGAGTGCTACGCTTTTTTTTATTTTTTATTTTTACCTAGAGCTGGCTGGCTGCTGCTGCAAAGGTTAAGAGCTTGACTAGTAAACGCCACACGAGGCGTATGAGCAATAAAATGGCCAATGCGATGCTAATGCCAATGTCGCACAGTTGTACAAAGCTGCAGCAGAGAGAGATCACATCACATAAACAAATACAAATACAAATACAAATTCAAAAGCAACCAAAACACCAACAATTCGAGCCACACACAACAACAAAACAATCAATAACAAATTCATTTTGTATTAGCGAACTCGTCTCGATTTGCATGAATCATGGAATCAATTAATTTCAATTTAAGCTCAATTGTTTTGCCATTTCTGTATAGCTGCGTGCACGTGTGTATACGTGTGTGTGTGTGCGTGTGTGTTTGTGTGTGTCTGTTCAGCAAATTAAAATTGTAAATTAATCTCACGCACTTTATAATTATAAATAAGCTATAATATGATTAATGCAACGGAATCAACAGAAATAAAGTAAAACCAAAAATGATTGAAATTGAAATTTTCGATAGCTGGGATTATATTATTTTAATTAGCCGAATAACAAATGCCCTTGAACAGAAAATATATAAAAAACTGTCTCTATAGCTAATCAAGTTTTAATTGATTGACAGAATACCTATTATATATCTAAGTATATGTTTTAATGATTGGCTGCTTGACTCGCTTACCCTTTTACTAATTACTAATAGACTAATGACTCATTGATTGACTGATTGATTGATTATTCGTTAAGTCATCTATGTATATGTTTTAATAACTGACTACTTGATTAGCTAATTATTTTATTAATCACGAATATACTGATGACTAATTGATTGACTGAATGATTGATTAACTTATTGATTGACTGATTGGTTGTGAAGTCATAGTGGTTACGTAATATATCCAGATCAACTGATTGACTAACTGATTGACAACTGACTTACATACACATTAAGTGATTGATTGAAAGCGTGCTGTTTATTTTCTATGCCCAAATTAACTAATTGACAATATATTGATTGACTGAGTTGCTGATTGACTGATTGGCTGATTGACTGATATTCAATAAATACTTTAAATAAACTAATTGACTGATAGACTAATTGATATATAGCTCTTATACTTATTTATCTAGACTACTGATTGACGACTGGCTGATTGATTGACTAAAAACTGACCAACTAATAGGTAGACTAATTTGACTATAGTGCCTGATTGAACTCCTAGCTGACTGATTGCTTCATGAAATAATTGACAAACTGACTGACACACTGATTGACACTGACTGATTAGCCCACGGGCTGATTGACTTACTGACTGACACAGGTTAATATTATTGTCTGATTGATGGATTAGGTAACTGACAGACAGACAGACAAACAGTTGATTGATTAACTAACTCAATAGCTTGCTGACTGATTGATTGACTGGCTTAATGACTATTTGAACAACTGGCTAAATAACATTAATAATTCGTTCAATCTCTGATCTGTCATCTGTGGAGAGCAAGTGATTGATGAACCAGAGATAAATTGATTGCTGAGCCACGTAACGTCCAATTCCTAACAGCTACACTTATATTTTATGATAAAATAAGCTATATATAAATTCTTAAAAACCTTTCTCATTTTCACCTTGCTATTGTCCTCTATATCGTTCTGCTTATAACTCCCCAATTCAAATACTTTGAGCCGCATTCAACACACACACACACAATTATGCTAAAGGTTAATCAAATATATGTACATATATATATAATTTTAATATATATATTATATAGTGCCTATAATTCCCCACATTAAAGTCGCTTTGTATAAAAAGCAGCCGACAGTTAATTTATATTTATCATGCACGAGTATCATTATTCATTATTCATTATGTGTTAGAGTATGGGTGTGCGTGTATACATATATGCATGTATATCAATCAATATGTGTGTGTGTACGTGGGTTTGTGTGAATTGTATTTGAATAATTTATAAGCCAAAAATCAATAGCCAAAAGTCAGAAATTAATTGCGAACTTAACGTGAGCCATGCAAAAGTTTAGAAATAAAACCAGAAAAAATTACAGTTAAGTCTATGTCGAGTATATAGGTTAGATATTTAGTTGTTCTACATATATGTATGTATGTGTATATAGATAGCTTGGAAATTCGGATGGAAATACCTGCTGCTGCCGCTGCCGCTGCCATAACGATCATCGCTCTCCGTCAGATGATGAGCCGCCGGCACTGGGCGGGTGCGGGGCGAGCTGCCGCTGCCATAGCCGCTGCTGCTCGAGTTGGGCGTGGCATAGCTGCTGCGCGCCGTCGTCGCGTTCGTATCGTCACGGGAGGCGCGTCTCGCCTCCAGCCGATCCCTATACGAGCTGCTGCCGCCGCTGCTGCTGCCCGCTGCTGTCGTCGAGCTGGCTGCGCTGCTGGGCGTCGATTTGGTTGCTGCGCTGCTGCTGCTGCTGGCCGCGGCGCTTGTCTTCGGCTTCGGCTCCACTTCTGACTCGGATTCGGACTCTGAGCTGGTCTCCTCCTCGCTGCTCGAATCCGACTCAGCCTTCTTCTTATCCGCTGAGCCGTTGGTGGTGCTCGGCGTACTGTGCTGCGGCAGGAAGCGGCTCACGAAGGGTTTCTTCTCCGGCGTCGCTGGCACCGTAGCCTCACGTGCGCTCGAGTAGCGCGACGAGCTGGCCGCCTTGGCCGGCTGAGCGCTGCTGCTTGTTGTTGTTGCTGCTGCTGCGGCGGCTGCTGCTGTTGCTGAGCTGGCAGAGCTTTCGGTTGAGGCGCTGCTATCGCTGCTGCCCGAACGTTGTGTCTTCTTGACAGCTGCCACCTGGGCGGACACGGCCGGTTTGGACTGTTGGGTAGGAGTAGGAGTTGCATCAGAGTCTGTGGCGCTGTCAGCCTGTTAGTTGTTTGTTGTTTTCATTTTTTTTTTTCGGATTGCAAGCGAAACGAAATGCAAGTAGAGAAAGAAAGATATCGAATATGCATATGGATGGCGTATGGACAATATACAAGTGACAACGATGTGGGCGCCTGGCAGGAGGTGGGGCAGGGGCGAAGTGGGCTGGCAAACGTCAAAGACAGAGCGCATTTTTGAGAGTGCGAGGGTAGCTTGGATAGTTGCAGGCAATTAAGAAAAAGAGGAGCGCTTGCAAGTTGTTAAAATAGAAATGAGAACCATTAGGTGAACTTGGAATTATTTTTTTAAATATTTTCTATATTCATCAGAGATTTTGTAAAATTGTCTAATTTGTCTAAATTCGTCTAATAAGACAATTTTTCATAAAATTAAAAAACATATCAAAGTTAAAAAAAAAAGGTAAATTAAGTCCTTTAAGTATGCAACTTTTTAATAATCATTAATTTGAATTTAGAGATCTTTTAATAAAATATCAAAAAATACAAAAAAAAAAAATGAAATAAAAAATATATAAAAAAAAAATAAAGAAAAAATTTTTTAAACTCAAAAAAAATAAATGCTTTAATTTACTACTTTGAATTTATAAATTCTTTAGCCTCTTAGTAAATAAATTTTTTTTTTTTGCAAACCTTTTTTTAATATTTAAAAAAAATCAAAATTTTAGGTAAATTTAAATTGTTTTTTTTTTTTTTAATTTATCCATGTATTTTTTGTAAATTTTTCTCTCTCTATTCTCAAGGTTATTTCCGCAAGTGCATGAAGCCGCCTCTCTTTCTTTTTTCCTCCAACTTTTTCTGTCAAAAAATGCTTGTTAACAAAACAAGACAAATATGCAGCCGCGCATATGTCGCACACACACATACAAATACATGTGTGTGTAACGGTAAATGAATACGTTGTTAAACTGACGGAAGCAGCAACGGCTGACAGACATGATTGAAATGCTACCATTGAAAGCGATGCCACGCGCAGCAATGCCTGGCACAGGAAGGCTAACAAAATAGATATAAAGGTGGCACACACACACACATACGCGCACAGGAGATATATATGTATAGATATATTTACAACGGACATCAGAAATTTGTGACAATGAAAACCAAAAAAAAAAAGGAAAGAAAATTTAGAAAATAAATCAAAATCCAAATGAAATAAAAAATGGATAGCGGGTAAAAATGACATTTGTATGCTTTTTGGCGGTTTTGGCGGTTTTTCTCTGCTCAGGTTTATTTTTTATTTATTTTTTTTTTAGCAATTTTTGTTGCCAGCCAAAAGTGCACAGATATATTTAGTTAGGTTTAAGCAAATTAACATCACTACCACATCGTTTGTCCACTTGAGAAATAGCGAAAAGAGAGAGAGAGGGAGAAAGAGAAAGAGAGAGAGAGATATAGAGCGAGAGCCAGAGTAGATGCATATACAACAATAAAAAGTAACAGAAATTACTCGAGAGTTTTGTTTCGATTTTCTTTTTAAACACATAAAAATTTGTGTTTTATTTTTTATTCGTAACTCTTTTGCTTGCAGTCTCTAACTAAGCATTAAACGATAAGGTAATAGATGCTAAATTACTGTGAACTCAATTTTGTTTTGTTTTTTGTACAATTCATAATTTCTGATGTCCCTGCTTTTTGGGTCGAAACTCTACAAAATATTTATTTAATGTTTTTTTTTTTTAAATCTTTTTCGTATCACAATTATTTATTTTTAGTCAGAGGCTTAGTCTATACGCTTGTAGGGGAAGGGTATTATGACTTTAAATGCATGGTAGAAGCTCTAATTGATGCAGCTGCATTCTAGTATCTACATATATAAAATAAGATACAACAATTTTTAACATTTCAGTTATTTTATTATTTTTGAAAAATTTATAAATCAATTCATATCTCTGCTGTTACACATACAGCTGTGCTCATAAAAATAGTTGCACTTTTCCGATGAAAAATTCTTTAGAATAGCAATTCATTCAGTCTGTATCTGCTGCATTTGTCGATTTCAGGAAATTCATTCATTCAAAGAACAAATTGAATTAAATTTGTTGCAAATTTAGCTACATTCAACTCAAATAAAAATGGAATTTCTGCATGGCAAGTTGAGCTATACTCTACTCAAATAAAATTTGCATACCACATACCAAAGCTCCCTGACCCTACAAGAGCATTTAGACTTCAGCCTGACCTCTGTCTTTTCGTTTTTATATAGATTTCTTTTTGTTCTCTTTCTTTTTCTGATTTTTAGCTTACATTAGTCGATTAGGCGTTGATTGTTGGAAAAGGTTTGGACCCAAAACAGCATTAATAACAACAAGAACAAAATGAAAACGAATGAAAGGCGCTCCACAAGACAGCAATGTGAAATGAAATCAAAGTAARTAAATGAAACTTAGCTTAAGACACATAGAAAAAGGGTAAAAAAAATGAAAAAAACACACAAAAAACAAAAACAAATCGTATTTGGCATTTGGTTAGCGTTCATCAGTAAAATAACGAAATGGTCAAAAGGTCGAAAAGGTAAACAGGTAACAGGTAAATAGTTAACGGTTAACAGTAAGTAAAATATATATATTTTTTGTTTTTGTTTTTCGATTTTTGCTTTTCATTTTTTTATTTAGGGTTTTTTTTTATATTTAACAGACTTACGGAGCGTAGGAAAGTGTGAACACTGAACACAAATAAAGAAGAGTTTTTATCTTTTTTTCTTTTTGGACAAACAAACATTTGACAAAACATGACGTATACGTAATATAAATAAATATATATTAAATATTGAATACTGTGCAGATAACCCGATTTGAATTATTTTAATTATATAGCAACACAAAGTGCAGCTGACAAAGTGAGACGAGTAATGAGAGAGCGAGAGAGAGAGAGCTTATTTTATCCGCTTATTTAGGTGAATCCGTTTTACGCGCTTACTGCTTAAACTCTTTAATGAGATTGAAGCTGATAATGAGCATATCATGTTGTGCATTTGCTTTCGGCTTTGCATTCCCTCCTCTTCACAATCGTCCTCTGTAGATGTTCACTTTATTCTCATCTATTTCACTTTCCTCATCTTAATTATCTTCAAGATTAGGTTCCACTTTTGTATAGCTTTGGCTTTGCCTTTGCTTTGGTTTCTCTTTCCTGTCTGATTGATGTACACTTTATCAGCTTCTGTGTCTTTTATTTCGATTTCTCTTTAGCGTTCCGCTAGATTGTCATCTATTTTATATTGCCCCTTCTCATACGAGCTTAGTAGCAGCGGAAGCTTCTGCTGCGGTCTCTGCTTTGGACCCTCTTTCGTCTTGCTTTCTCCTCGTCGTCTTCATACTTTCATCAGCAATATCTACTTGCTGCATTTCTATAGAGGCTGCGTCTTCTTCTTYTTTATCTTCTAAGCTACCTCTTGTTCTTCTCTTATAGAAGCTACCTCTTCAACTTCTATAGAAGCCGCCCCTTCTTATTCTTCATCTTCATCTTCTATAGAAGCTACCTCTTGTACTTCTTTTATAGAAGCTACCTCTTCTTCGTCTTCATCTTCCGTAGAAGCTTCTTCTTTTCTTCTTCTTCTTCGTTTTCTTCTTTTATAGAAGGTACATATTCTTCTTCATCTTCATCTATAGAAGCTTTCTCTTCTTCTGCTTTTTCTACATCAATGCCTCTTTCTCATCTATTGTAGCTTTTTCTTCTTCTTCCCTACAAGCCATCTCTAGCTATCTCTCTCTCTCTCTCTCTTGTTAATCTTCCGTTTGATCCTCTTCTGTTTCATATGACTCATATTCCTCCTCCTCCTCCTCCACATACTCCTCTTCATCGTCATCTTCCTGCTCAGCAGCAGCTGCTTCTGCAATCGGCTCTGCCTTCACCTCTGCCTCAATCTCATTTTCTTCGTCTTCCTCCTCCTCCTCCTCCTCATCATCTGTAATCTCTTCCTCTTCCTCCTCTGCTACTTCCACTTTCACTTCCTCGCCATCGCCATCTTCCTCCTCCTGCTTCTCCTCAATCTCCTGCTCTATATGCCTATCGCTTATGACATCCATATTGCATTCATTCTCTGACGCCTTCTCCATCAGCTCATTCTCGGGCGGCACAATATTTATCACTGGCATGCTCTGCTCTGGCTGCCCCTGCTGCTCCTCGTCGCTCTCCTCACTCTCACTGACTGTCACCTCTTCATACTCAGAGCTGGTCGCATTATCCACCTGCTCTGGCAGCTGCAGCTGGTGTTGTTCTGCCTGCTGCTGCTGCTGCTGCTGCTGCTGCTGCTGCTGCTGCTGCTGCTCTGTCTCACTCTCACTCTCACTTTCGGTCTCTGTCTCAGCTTCGCTGCTGTCACTGCTGTCACTGGCTTCCTCTTCTGCTTCTTCTTCTTCTTCTTCCTCATCTGCTTCCTCATCTTCTTCATTTGTCTCATTCACACTTACCTCGGCTCGCGCTGTCGCCGTTGCTGTACGCACTGGAGATGCCGCCGCTGCCGCTGCTGCTGTCGCTGCCTGATTGCTGCTGCTGCTGTCGCTCTCCTCGCTGCCGCCAAGGCCGCCTCGCTTCAACGCCGTCACACGCTCCGTATTGGGTCGCTGCTCGCCGCTCGTTTCCCCGGCCGTCGAGCTGCCCGCCGCACTCTTGCGCTTCTGACGCGCCAGCTCATCCTCATCGGCTGCTGCTGCTGCTGCCGATTGTTGATTCTTTTGCTGCTGTCGCTGCATGGCGGCCTTCTGCGCCTGGATGGCTGCCTGAACGCACGCTTGAGCTGCATGCGCTGCTACATCCGATTTCTTCTCCTTCTTCTCCTTGCCAATCTCCGCCAGGCGCTGCACCACGCGCGAGCAATCGCTGAGCCGTATTATGCCACTCAGCTGGCCACGCGACACATCCTCGCTGTCCAGCACGCGATCCTTGCGCTTCTCAATCTCCTGCTGGCGCTGCTGCTGCTGCTGCTCGCTGTCCGAGTCGTCGTTTTGGTGCGAGCGCACGAAACGCGAACGGAAACGTGAAGACTTCGCTCCACGTCCCGCCGGCTCGTTCTCATAGTCGTTCTCATAGTCGTACTCGGAGCGTCCATAACGGTTCTCGCCATAACGATCGTTGTTGTTGGCGCTGCGCTGAGGCCGCTCGCCAAACTTGCGGCCCCCGAGCACGGGCTCATCGTTGTAGCCGCCGCGCTCCTCCTGCTGTCGGAACTGTGTGGCCAAACGATGATCGCTCTTCGAGCGCATCAGTCCGGGCTGCAGGGCACTGGGCGGCGCCAGATGGGAGCTGCTCACCGAGCCGCTGGGCGTCGAGTGGGGCGCAATGTTCAGATCCCCAAAGGTGGCCAAATTCATGACCAACTGATTCGGATCGATGGAGACAATGAAGCGCACCCGCCGGCTGTAATCGTTGTTCTCGTACTCAAAGTGACGCAAAAATTCGACGGTCTTCAGAAAGATCTCCTTGGTGTCCATTAGCTCACAGTCGTCCCACTCGACCGTCTCGTTCATGTACTTGTCCACAATGTCGCAGTTGCTGGTGATGTTCGTGATCTCCAGGTCCAGGTTCTCCTTGAGTGTGGTCAGATTGCGCAGCTCCACGGCCAAATAGCGATCGATTTCGCCTTTCAGCCCGTCGGTTCTGTCCTTTATGGCCTTCGTAATGCGCCTGTAGATCTCGTCGATCTCCTCCGTCACACCAATCGCATTCGTCTGCAGACTCGCCGTGTTCTTCTCGATTATCGACAGCGAATCCTGCAATCGATGCAAACTGCGACGAATCTATGAAGAGTGCGGAATTAGTTTGTGGTTGATTTCGGGTCTAGATTAGGTTTGGCTCACCTGTGAATTGAAGCGGGTTATCTCACGTCGCAGTATGTCCATGTGTGCGCTCTTGCAGTCCTCGCAGATCTTTTTCTCGCAGTGCGCACAGTGGGAGAGATATGCTTTCTCGGAGCAAACGCCGCAGCGCTCCATGATTTGACCTGCAATGAAATAATGGAAATGGAATATATATAAATGCTGAGCATTGATTGAGGTGGCAGCAAAGCGTTTCATGGTATCTAAGGATGCTCTTAAGTATGTATGCAATGGAAGTGGAACATTTGCTTATTATTTTATATGATTCTCTATACGATCTAGTATATAAATTGTAAGGCCTGTTTCTGTTTCTGTTCTGTTTCATTATTATTATCTCATCATTTTCAATTCATTTGAAAATGAAAGGAAACGGGGATAACACGTAGGGCAGTACCTTAACATTTATCTACCATAGGTCATAGAGTTGTACCTCGTAATAAGTAGAACCTGCTTGGGTAGGAACAGAGGAAATGAAACATAGAAAGTATGTCTCCATAAACGAATTAAAAGAGCAAAACAAAAATGAAATCATAGATATAAATATGATCTATCTGCTACTCCCACGACAACTATCATAAGTCAGTTCAAGCATATATGAAGAAATAAGGGAATTAAAACCTAGTTCTGCGAAATCTATAATATATCACTAAAAGTAAATTGGAATAGTTGGAATGACACAGCTGCTGAAGAGGCTTACTAGTTTCAGTTGAGATTATTGTGAAACAATAAGAAAGAATAATCTAGAAAACTGTACAGCCAGACCTCAATGCCAAATCGTTTCAGAAACACACTTCAAAGTAATTTGATTTCGCACACAATCATATTTCCAGTGCAAAACGTTTCATTTCGAATGCAATTTAACCAAATGCAATGCTGCTTATCAAATGCCAATTCCAGAACGTTTCAGCTGCTGTCGGCGCAATCATTCGCCAATGCTTAGCAATTGAAATTCCACTTGTTTTCGATCGCATCGCATTCCTTTTATCAACTTGTTTAGCCTTGTTGCTGCTTGTTGTGCAGCCAAAATATTTCGACTTGTCGCTAAATGCTAAGTTACTGCACTGGCAGCAGGAGTTGCAGCAGCAGTAGCAGGAGTTGCAGCAGCAGCAGCAGCAGCAGGAGTAGCAGCAGCAGTAACTGTTGCCATTGCAGTTGCTGTAGCCAGGCCGCCAACCCATCAATTTACACCAATGACAGTTGGCAACAAGGCAACGGTTTTTTTCTATTTTCCATTTCATTTTCTTTTTTTCTCTATTTCTCGTGTATCTTGACTGCGATTCAGTGCTGCTGTTCAGTGAGAGAGTCAATGAGGGAGGACATAGCTGGGCACTAATGCGATTTCAAGAGTGTCGCCAAAACGCTAGAAATCAACTGAATCTAAACGCAGCGCCGACAACAACAACTGCCGGCTCTTCCGAGATGTTTATGCGTCCGTTTGCCAAGGCATATCCTGCCAGCGCATGCCGATGTCTTGGCTATGCATACATATATATGCATAATGCAAATAACGAGCTGTCGGGCCCCAACGACATGAACCTCGAATAGTCTCCCACTGGAGCACACCCTTCTTCCCACATATACTTCTCCTTTTGTCCCTCTCTCTTTCTCTTTCTCTCGCCCTCAACAATGCAAACATTTCACAGTGTCTCAGTCACAGCATAGCAAATCGCAGCCGCAGTCACAGTCACATTCACATTCACAGGCGAGCTATGCAAACTTTTCTGCATCAATTGTTGGCAAAGCTGCCCCGGCTGCTGCCCCCACCTTGGCTCCACTACTGGCCCCGGCTCTGGCCCAAATCGCTGGCATAACCATTGGCATTGGCATTGCCTGATGAACTTGCCTCGGCTACCAATAGTTAAGGCTGTGCTCACTCCTCTTGCCATGACAATAAGCTCACCAAGTACACAAGCACACACACACACACACACACACACTGTGAAAAAGCTCGCTTTGCTTGCTCTGCGCCAATAGTTGGCTGTATTTTCTTGTGTAATCATATGGAAAAGTGAATTTGCAAATACTACATGCGATTGCGAGTCCTTGTATCATCGCATTCAGTTATCCATAACAGCGCGGCTTGAAAGGATTTGCCCAAAAATCAGCTCAAGGAGCAACTTTTCTTTCCACACACACGCACACACACACGCACAGGCACACATTTGCATAGCAATTGTCAAAAATAATGTAAAATATAAAAAAAAATGTAAAGAGAGTCAAATACTCAAAGCTTTGTCTGCTTATTAACTACCTGCCACTGATTGCAGCTCTGTGAATACTTTTCAACTACATATACATATATGTATGTGTATGTGTATGTAGTACTTATAGTACTCATACATAACACTCATTCCATTCGTGGCATTCATAATAGTCAAAGGCACTTTCTTTCAACACTTATTTGCATTTTGCTGATGAGAATTGCCGGTTTGTCGCTTTGTCGCTCTGTCGCTCTGTCGATTCTGTGTCGCTTCTGTTTGTCCTTTGCAATTTGTCGCCGACTATCAAGTTTCAAGTTATTTGCATAGTCATGGCTACCAACCTGATCCAGCAATATGGCCACAATGCAAATGATTTAAAACAAGAAAGTATTCTCGAAATATACCAAAATGTCGAAGATTAAATACTCTAACAAGTAGCAAAATTTAAGAAGAAAATTATTTAATATATATAAGACTGATAGATCTAAACTTTGTATTGTGACTAGTTAAGATATTTCAATATGAAAGATAGGTTTGGTCCATAATTTAGATAGATAAAAATTTATATTTTATATGTCTATATCAGTCCATGACAGCCTGAAAATGATTTATCTTTATCTGATCTTAATTTTATAGATATAGAAAATCAATTCTGATAATAATATATATTATATATTAGGTATATTTCCAAACCACATAACAAATTAAGTATACCCTCACAGCAATACCCTCACTCAATAAAAATTTCAAACACACACAAAAAATGAACCAAAATCAATTTGCTTTTGCTTAGTTTTAATTGCGAGCGAGGTATTCGACGAGTGGTTGTGGAGGGCGGACTGAAAGGGGCGTGGACTGATTTGTAAAATACACAAAGCGCTTGATTTTTAATTGGAAACCAAATATTATGGCCGTGGCATTTGCTTTATATTCGTCACACACTTTTTTATGCTGTTTGTTTTTGTGATATTTTAGGAATTTAATTAAAGTTAGAGAGAAAGCAGAATTTATTAACAAATTATCAAAGCCCACAAAAGCAAAAAGGGTAAATAAAATGTTATAGATTAATTAAAATAAATAGAAAAAGAAATTACTTTCACAAAGTGCTTTTATGAAAACAGCAAATATTACACAGAAATAGTTTTGCAATATTTTAGCTCAAAATTGTTGCTTGTTGCCTTTGGGCATAAAAAGCAACGCAGCGTAAACAATTTTAAATGGCAAATTGCAAATTGCAATTTTTCATTTTCCAATGCACAAAAATTTTAATTTGCGATAGACGGACAAACGGACCAAAAAGTGAAGCCAGACAGACGTCAGGGATACGCTTTACGCTTTATGCTCGGTGCTTTATGCTATATGCTTTATGCTTTGTTCGCGCCCTTTTGCTGTATGCCCTGCTGCGAAATAGCTCGTAAAATTCCAATGAAATGCTGTGCTTTACGCTGCGGGAGAGCAATGGGGTGGGAGACAGTGGATTACTTACCTGAGGTGGGATCTGGCAATTCGCCGGTGATTTCGATATGCAGCTCCAGAAAACGCTGCAGCGTAACATTCGTGGGAAAGGCTTGGACGCCATTGTAGGGTATACGATGTTCGGCACGGCATTCGGGGCATTTGACCTGCAATCAGTGCAATCAGACGTAAGTAAATGCAATTACAGGTTCATCAAACGATGCAGTGAATACGCATTTTACACCTCAACAGCTCAACAATATAGTTAGGCGTGCTATACACAGTACAATATGAACTTGCACATACACATACTGCTACTAATACACGCATAGGGTACATTTAAGCACGTCTGTTACATGCTTACGCTCGATCTACACTGACTCTCTCTTGCACACGGCTTTGTTATTATGTTTGTATGCGTGAGAGGAACAGCTCTAGGCTTGAGTGACTCCATTTGAGCAGTTTGCCTATTACATGCGTAGGTGTAAGAGAGATAAAACTACATTCGCGGAGCTCAAGTAAAGAAGAATTGGAAGAGAGCAGTGAGCATAAACTGCATTCGCCGTGACTGAGTATATACACATGCAATACTCTTCCTCAATACAAGGAAAGGAGTAAATATGTACATGCATTCACACACGCGTGTAAAAGAATAATCATCGTAGCTGTTAAGCTAATCAGAAAAAATGAGCGCAAATTCGCAAAATGGGAGCTGTGTTCGCCTGTAACTAAATGTAAATGCATGCGTGAGAGGGAGATAGAGCGTCTTGAGAGAATTCAAGTAAGGAATTGCAAGAGCGCAGCGAATTTAGAAAACGGGAGCTGCTTAGCAACTGGCCTTGACTCAGTGTAATTATGTATTTATGTTACTAGAGACACAAATGTGTGTGAACGAGACAGAGCAACATTCACATTGCCTTAGCTTATTATGAAAGAGTACTTGTAAAATTAGGCATGTATTTTAATATATGAATAAAAATGTATGAATATTTTAACACACATATTTAAATTTTGTAACACGCTTTAAAAACCCACACATCTGATGAAATGTTGACAGTGCAGGCATCTTGAGCGTGTGTCACCTTCGTCTCTGTCTATGTTTTTCTTATTTTCGCCCAGCCCTACAGTGCTGGCAAATCTATAGGGCCTGGCTGTGCTATAGACATGACAGTTATTTGTTTAGTTGTTTGTCGAGGCTTTTGCCCAGCAGTGTATCCCATACAATGGACATGCTTAGCAATTATTTGCGTGGCGCTGGCGTAAAGCCAAAATAAATTTATAAATACGCGCGCACACTAACACACTTACACATACAGTAGGCGTCTATAAGTAGCGCAGTAGACACATATTCATTATATGCATATACATGCATACATATACATAAATATGCATATATATCTATATGTATATATATAGATAAGTATGGCTGCTTTATATGTAAATTTTATAATTTTTCAGCAGCCAACGCAAAGCAAATCTACGCAAATGCGCCACAAGCAACAAAAACTGAAATTACGTTGAAAGAAAAACAAAAAGAAAACTCAACTCATTTCCACAATGTGAAGTCTGTGTTTTTTTTCACTTTTTTTTTTGGCTTTGGACAACGAAAATGTTGTTTTCATTTGCCCCATTGCGATTTTTTGGGGGCTTTTGCCGTACGATTTATTAAGCAGCTTTTGGCATGTGACGTAGAGCGCTCAACGAATTCGCCGCATTTAACAAAATTGCCTCACACATGAACATACACACACACGCACACACACATACACACACATGCACACACGTACACACCCATGTGTACACATGGCTTATGCATTCGACTGTGATTATGATTTATGGACTTTTGTGCGTGTGATTCTGATATGTGTGTGTGTGTGTGTGTGTGTGTGTGTTTATACGCTTGCACATACATACAGAGTTAATGTAACAAATATTCTTACCTGGCGTCTCACATAGTCCACCAAACCCTCCATGCAGGGCTCCATGCAAAAGGAGTGCTGGCATGGCAAAAGCTTTGGTATGCGATACCTGTCCAAACACACGCAGCACGTCAACAACTGTTCGAATTGCTCCATGGTTCACTGCAAGAGAGAGGGAGAGAGAAATATAGTGTGTGAGAGAAAGAGACCGAGAGATATAAAGAAAATGAGAGTGTGAGTGAATGCAATCAGACATCATTAGTCTTGATTTGATTAGAGACAAAGTCCTGTCAATTTGATATTCATATCATTATAAATTCGCGTGCGCCGCCTTGCCGCTAAGCTCATCATAAGATGGCCCCCAAATCGGATTGCGACATTACGAGCCCTCACTTTTGAATAAGCACAAAACAACGGAATGCCATCAAGTGTGGCAATTGGGCTTTACTGACTAGCCAATACGCGCTTCCAGTAGATTAAGTGAATTGAATTTTTATGCTAAATGAATTATGGACCTTTTCCAATTTTTAAATATTTTTAATTGATTTGTAGACAAGATTATTAGTCTTTTTGATACAATAATATGGTTACGCTAATTTTGTTAATTAGACTAAAATTTATTTATGTTTATT